CTGTTAGCCATGACCTCCAACCTAAAAGCAATGGCCTCCAACCTAGTCGCGATGGCCTCCAACCTACTAGCGTTGGCCTCAAACCTACTAGCGATGGCCTCCAACCTGATAGCCATGGCCTCCAACCTAATTAAGTAATAGCGATGGCCTCCAACCCAATAGCGATGGCCTCCAACCTAATAGCGGTGGCTTCCAATCTAATAGCAATGACCTCCAACCCAATAACGATGGGCTCCAACCTAGTAGCGCGATGGCCTCCAACCTAATAGCGATGGCTTCCAACCTTTAATAGATTTTCATAGCAGTGGCCGCCACCCCAATAACGATGGGCTCCAACCTAGTAGCGCGATGGCCTCCAACCCAATAGCGATGGCTTCAATCTAATAGCGATGGCGATGGCCTGCAACCTACTAGCAATGGCCTCGTTATGTTTTGCGGCACCCTGAAATGCTATAAGGTTGTCTCGGACAGACACTGTCCAGAAGCTCTTAGAAGACCTCCAGCAGAAGGTGAATAATCATCCGGAGACTTGCCGAAGAGAACTGTGCGAGATCAACGATGTCCATTGGCCCCATCTATTGGACGGACTTCCCGTGGCGGATCCTCCTTAAGGGGTCCGACCCTTGCGACGGACTACACCTCAGTCATGCACTTGTTGCCTAGTAGCGATGCACTTATTACATCTTATTACTAGTAGCCTCAAGAGCTCCAGGCTCCAGGTACTCATGTCCCTCTTTTTGCCCAAAACGACCGTTTGCCCAAATGAACTGCCCGCAGAAACTCCTATTCATGTTCACGTCCGGCCCACAAAAAGAACACAGAACACGCACCATCTGCTTTCCGAAAAAGGAAGCCAAAGGCGTCGTCTATGAACGAGTACGACTTCCTCAGAGTGGAGCTTTGCTTGATGACCAGGCCTTGGGGTCCGATGTCGTCCGGGATTGTCGTTCTGAGACGGAGGACGAGCCACGATTTGTTTTGGCACCAGGAACCCCAGCGCTACGGAGGTTCTCTCTTGCTTGTGGGGATTAGACTTAACACGCCTAACATGCCGCATTGCTCTCCTGAAGATGAAACGGACAGTTTGCTTGCAGGACGTCCTTGGGGTGTCACTGGCAGATGATGAAAGGGATCTGGATGCATTGCCCACTGGGCAGGCTGTGGTCGCCACCAAAGACGAAGATTCCCGGCCGTTTTAATGCTGTTTACTTATTGATTGCAAATAAGGGGGGGCCCCAGCTGCTAAGAAACCAGACTGGAAGGTTTCACTTGGGCTAGTTGGCCTTGGTATGCAGAACGGCCACTCTGGACAACGAAAACAGGTTTGGGCTCAAGTGGTTGTCATGCCGTGCCATGACTTACCATGTTTTTACCCCAGTGTTGCGATGCTGCGACATGCATTTAGCACCGCGAGGCTCCAACATCTTTTATAGCACTTAACAATCCCTAATCCCTTCTCCTCAGATCGACTTCTGCAGCAGAGATTCTCTTTCTTGGGCCTTTCACCCATTCAACAGCTTTGGCAGCTGAAGTAGAACATGCCGGATCGTTGAGAGCACAAAGTTGAGGCTACATGGCCATCATGGGCGATGTGACGATGGCGGGGAACTCTAGGGTTTAGATCTACTGTATATAGCACATGCTGCGTCCTAACAATGCTTGGAATCTCGCTGCGTCGGTATGAGATTGAACCTCCTGATGAAGGCCCAATCCTCACCCCTCCTCCCAACACCCCTTGGGGTAGATCCAGCTGCCCGGCTGTACTTGGGTTGGGATTCCACCGTGGTTTGGACACCCACCAGGCACCTCAACAGGGTGGTCGACAGGGGCGTCGCTTCCCTCAATTTCTCATGCTGCAACGCCCCATGAAGAGTGTCGACACCAACACTGACATACATACAAGATATGGGCTGTTGATTTTGACTGCTCTTCCTCTTGGGAAGAGTTCCATCTGACCCAGGACTGGGTTTTGAGCAGCTGTCTCCAAGCCTTTCTCCCAAAGAATGAGGACTGCCTGGTTTCAAGAAATTTTGGGCAGCTCACGGAATGAAGAGAAATCAACAAAAGAATGCAAAAGATACACCTAACTATTACATGTTTATTTGATGTTATACACTGGGGTGCCGAAAGTTGCGCTTCTTGACTTCTAAAACGGGACAAAACCCTTTCCCCTTAGAATCCTACGTGCAACATGTCGACACCTAAGTTGCGGTCAGACTTCCACACCTGAAAGCCTTATAAGTTATAAGTATTATAAATTACAGTAAACGAGTGTGGAAATCTGACCGTGCTGTACCTGCCAGGCCAAAAATGGACATGTCAATCCGATCCGCTGTAGACCGCAAGTGTCATGTTGGAACAGAGTAAGAAGCGTAAACTTTAGGTTCTTGAAGTATAAATCACTTGTACGGCATATGGTAAGACAACAAAACAGACTTGGTGAAAGAACAGCTATGACAACTCTCCAACTAAATCATTGTAAAAAAAGAGAGCAACCTCAGGACCATTTCAGTAAGGGCTGGCTTTCTCCCCCAAACAGCTATGGCTTCATCCCTTGTTGGGCCTGGACCTGGACATGCCCGGGAGATCCGACAGCCAAGACCCAGCGCCATCGGACGGTTCCTTCGGCAGGATCAGAAGGCACACAACTTGCTCCCTTGCCCCGTGGGCAGCGTGGTGCCAATGCCGATAACGGCGGGACCCGAGCTTGTGGGGCGGGTGTCCAAGACATGGTGTTTGTCCTGTGGCCAGAGTGTGTCAAGGGGATAATGAATGACAAATGACAAGGGTTAGTAATGATACATGAACAACCCGATGCAATGCAACCTGGCTTGCAACCTTTCAAGCTCCAATAAAGCTCCGATGCCGTTTTTGTTAATCGGGGGTCCGCAAAATAGGGGGAACCGCAAAGATGGAAACCTGGGGAAGAGCTTCAAAACCGAAAATTCAATAATCAAGCGGATCGAAGGGTCCTTTTCCCTTTATATATATACATAATATTACATAATCCCGTTATTGTAATAATAAATAGTGATTCTTCGATATTCTTCACGTCTATACTTGCCATCAGACTAACCACTATATATATAGATTTCGAAAGGTGATGTTGCTGTGCTATGCGGTTTTGGAAGATTGGGGAACAGTGCGCATGCATGAGATCCATGCTGTGTGTCGCCAGTGAGGGATATCATTGGTGGGGGGATTCTAGTGGATGGGTACCTAACAGTAATATTCCACCCGAAGTAACCTTGTGCGCGTTTTGGTTTTAGTAGTAAAAAGAAGGCGGTCATTTATGGACAAATGTAACGGGAATTAGGGGTCTTCGACATGCGCTGTTAATTGGGTACGGTGGTGTGGCATCGGGTTCCAGTCTTGACTTCTTTATTTTTGCTGTTTTATGTTTGGTCGCTGGTTGCTGGTCCTTTGCATGCTGGGCCCAGGAGTATCAATTCTATGCCCCTGGCCCTTATAGTTATGAATGATCGATTCTAAGAGAAACAAAAACAACTGAAACCACCGGTCGCCATCGCGCGCTCCCCAGGTACCCAGCTTCATGTGGGTGGTCGTGACGGCAGAGGCTGGCTCCTTTGCGAGGCCATCTCCTCGGGCCTCACCGGCTTTGTGCCGGAATGGGTTTTGGCCCCTCGGTACCCTGGGCGGATCGATGTCGGCCAGTCAGCGGCAAAGGCACAGCTGTGTTCGGGGAAAGTTGAAGTCGCAGCTGGTGGACAGGAAACCACCTCCGATAACTGGTGAAGCAACCTGACCTGCAACCTGACCTTTGACTTCACTTCGGTGGAGAATGTCAAGCATGAAGGCGGCAAGGATTGAGGTGAGCAAAGGTATGGATCCATTCCGAACGACAGGCCACGGCCATGATCGGCTGTGTAAGAGTGGACTTGCTTCAGGCCCAATGGGCGGGTGGGTGTCGGTGTAATTATGAGCGTTTCTCGGTTGATATGATGTTCGTTGTACTTGCAACCAAGATGCTGTTGCTTCTTGCAACAACTTGCTGCAGGAACATTTCAGGGGTTGGGTGGGGGATGTGCTCGGGCTTTGGAGGTTCGAAGGTGGCTTTGTGTTGCTGCATTGCGGCTGATTCAGTGCTGCAGCTTTCTGGGAGAGAGCACATCGATGTTTGTTGCGAAACTCTTTCTTGCTGTAGCCCAACCCATATTGAACCCGACACAACTGAAAGGCAACCTGTCCAAGAGTGACCGTTTTCACCATGCATTCACGCTTGTGCCATGCAATGCCATGCATGTGCCTATCTTGTGCCATCTTGTGCCTATCGTGTTCGTTCGGTTGTTGTGAGTTTAAAGGGTCAAGCCTCCGTTGTTGAATGTCAGTGAGAGTATCGGTTTTCCTGGATTGTGCAGGGAACGGTGGAGTTGATATGATGCGTCAAAACTCCATCTCCACTAATTAAGCAAGGTGGTTTTGCATCGGGACGAGTTTGTGGCCAGGGCGGTTGATCTTCATCCGGATGTTTTGTGTTCCGATGTCCAGTGTCCATGCATTGAAACTGACTTGTGACTTGTGGGAGTGTAAGATGCAGGTATAGGTTTCTTAAAGGTGATGTGAACATGGCTGAAGCATAGGCTGGACGGCCGTGTGTAGGGGGATGCTGGATTTCAAGGTATGGTGCAACGCTCTTCAGGTGCTACAGCTGAACCATGTCCACCATCAGTTTCCCACTTGGAACCAATCGTCCCACCAACCAGCCTGACATTCGCAATTCGTGCGGATTTGAGGAAAAAGCTGAACCAAATTCGCAGCCAAGCAGCATTGTCGTGCACTCACCGAAGAGCGCGCTGGCCGAACATCGTGCAGAAAGTACGAACAACAGACCAGGCAAGCACATTGGCAAAGTATGCCGGATTGAAGCCATGACTGGTGCCTATGTCGACGCTTGGCTTCACAAGAAGCTGGTCCAGGTCTGCGATTCTAGCCATGTTTGTGTGCAAACCATGGTTTTGGTGGATGCAATTCCCTTTTGATTGGAGGGGCCAAGATTGGAGGATATTGGAGGTGAATCGCTCGGTTACCAGTTGGGATCCACTTAGTGCCTCAGATAGGTGTGGCTTAAGCAGAACTGCAATTTGCAAAACTCCAACGCGGAAGGGTTGTGAGCTAGAACATGTGTGTCTTTCTTTGAGCTGGCGGCTTGAAGCGCTTGAAGCTTTGAGCATGCCATTGCAAGTCATACAATGCGTCACATGTGCGACAGCACCGTGACCCAGGACCGAGTGTCCTTTTACATGCGTGATGGCGCCAAGCACGTCTATGGTGGGGATGGCGGAGTGCATCCTCAGATATGGCACTTGGATGCTTGCCATCGGAATCGTATATCCACACAAGCCAAAAAGAGTGCCAATAATATATGTATATAACAATGGGTTTAGTAGCCCTTTTGATCGAAACTAGGGAAAAAAGATGAAATAGGCCTTTTGCTGGCCATACTTGCTTTTTTCTCGTTTGATTGGCGCGTGTTTTTCTCAATGGATTCACATGTTGCCCTTGACATTCCTACAACCAGACTAGGTTTTGTCTTCCCAAGTGGTGGTCTTCAGGCCGAAGATGAGGTGATCTTGGAAGCTCACCACATTGAGCATCCCCATCGGGAGTTCCTCGCCACTGAGATTTTCTTGACACTTGGATGGCTGATCAATGTGAAAGCTTCACTGGCAACAATCAATCATTCAAATTCCAACCTAGGGTTCTTTTTAACTGGATTTGGCATTTCCACCTTTTCTGCTTTGAGTGGCGCTTCAGGACATCATCGAAACAAAATATCGTCATCAAGGGCTGGACTGGGCCTGGGAAGAAGCGCCCTTTGAAATGGACGCTTGGCAACAGGCCGTGAGACCAAGGAAGGGATTCCGTAGGCAGTGCACGTTGCCTCGATACAACAGGTCTGCCACCTGCTTTGGGACTGGTCCACTTTTCTGAAGAGTTTGCCACAGAAAGCCACTTTTGCTTCGCAAAGCACCTTCCGGACCGGACCCTGCCAAGGCACTCCTTCGGCAAGCGTGGGCGACAGATTAATGAGCTGATCTTCGATGATTCTGTTCTGACTGGCATTCGCCACATGAGGCACGACTGGTGTTCGCTGGGTCGACCCCAGGTGTCTCCGTCCGTCCGACGCATGACTCGAATTACGAGTGTCAGCTCTGAGCGAGACCTACATACAAGCAGTACTGGTCAGTTTGGCATTTTCCACCATGCATCTCGAAGAAAGCCAAGAGTTCAAATTCTATTTGGGTTCCACTCCTGTTGATGGCCCTGGCACTCGGCCCCGCCGGGGCACTCGCTGCGTAGGCAGGGCAACTTTGTGCGGAAAAGGAAGAGCGCGAGGAAAGCATCATCTCCCACGGCCGGTACCACTGCGTTGGTGGTCAAGAACCAAGAGATGGAAACTCCATCTGTGAATTGGAGGTGTGCAAAACCTTTCCCATCAAGAACCCCATGTGTGGATCTATCCTTGAGACCCTTCAGAACAGATGTTTCTTTCAAATGGTCAGACCATCAAACCCGACCCGAGAAGTCGGTTTTTTGCGTTCTCGGGGGGTCTGCGTTGGGAGGGACTTGTGAGACCTGCAACCTCCAAGTAAGACAGTACAATGAAGGGATTTCTCTAGCCTACCATCGGTTTTGGTCAGGGTTGCGTGACACTCTCCTGCACTAAGCTGCAGCTCAGGTAGCCGATGTTGGAATGGAAGGTTGGGACCTGCTAAGAGAGGGCTGTGTGAGGGCAGGTAGTTTGGTAGCTGAAGAGCCGAAGGTTCAGGTCGACATGTGCTGTGGCTCGATGTCAGCTGAGCTTTCTTCATGGCGCTGGGCGAAACCCCTGTCGATCATTGTAGATCAGCAAGCATGAAGTTGCACAGGTTGGGGTATCACACGGCATGAAGATGAATGAAGCATCTCCATGATTCTCCATGTAGTTTGTGCTGTGGCACCCGGTAGTTTCGTGGCCCATGATTCGTGGCAGCGAAGCTAACGGGTGAGGCTCGAATCTCAGGAACACTAGGTGTGGTATCAGGCGTGATTCTTCGACATTCTTCCGCACAATGCCGGTCTTATGTATATAATTACATATATATATATACCTATACGATTTGTATACTGTAGGTGGGGGGCCGCATGAATACGTAGGAGAAAGTGTTTGTTTCTGATCATGGATTCCAAGAACGCGTTTCAGGCAGATGATTTGGTCTACAGGAGCCCCACACTGGCCACTTCGCTTGATGCACTGAGAGGCATTAGCGTGACGACCCCATCACAACTTTCGATCTGTCAAAGGGACAGTTTTCAGAAGAATTACCTGGCAACTCGATTGTCAAGAGTGTGAGGCCCCGCTCGTGGCCTTCCCAAGTTGATTTGAAATCTCACCGAGGCTGTGAAAAAGCCAGTCGCAGCCCCAAAAAAAGCGCGCCAATCCATGTGGTCCAGTGCTTCCTCAGCCCAAAAACGAGCGAACTTGGGTGCATGACCTGCGGGATACCCTACTTAAACAAACACGATGTTATAGTATTGTATATATCTATATATACTAAATACACGGAGGCAGACGGAGGTTGTAACGTCCTCTTTGTTTGAAGAACGACCTGCTTAGCTTTACGGTCTTTACGGCATGCTGAGCTTGCCATCGTATGCCTCCTGTCGACACTGGTGAGGTCAGAGTGCTCTGAGATCAAGGTGTTTTGCACTTTGCGTTCTATCGCTGAAGATGCCGTACACACCCAAATAAACAAGTACTGTAGACCCTCGAATTACCCACACTCTACGTACAAAACCGGATAGTACATGTATACAGTAGTATATACCTACTGTATAACATGTCCTGGGAGCTGTCTCTATCTTGTCTCTATTTGGAAGCTGGAAAACCCATGATCGGCTCACTGGTGGTGACGGTTCCGCTGAGGCAGGTGATGTCATGGAAGACTGGTGGCAGCTCATGGCGCCCGATTCCATGCAGGCGCGGGTGAGGTGGCCTCGCTTCGTGGGCACCGGCAGCGCCATCGAAACGGCGAAAGTCCCCAGTGGAGGACCACGCTTCTAAGCACTCCATAAGAAGCTCGATCAAGACAGAGTCAATCAGAGTCACTTGTTGGGTATTTTTTGGTAGTGTTCATCTTACTTCAAGAAAGGGTCATGAATCCACCTCTAGAGCTGAAGCCGGCCATTTGTATTGCGCAAGTCGGGGCTGGTCATATCCCTGTCAGTCAGCTCAATCAACGAGCCTTTGGACGCGGAGGAAGGGGCTCGAGTCTTTCATCCTTTGCAGGTGGGCTTGGTGCAATGGAATGATGCTTGCAGGAGAAAGTAGCAGTGATTTTTCATCACCCAGATTTTGATCACTGAAATCGGAGATGTTCGCGAGTGTGTGCAATTCTCTTTGAGATCGACAAAATGATGCTGTTTACATTGTTTAGCTGCCATTCTTAGAACCTGGCTGGTTGGCATCGATATCAACAGCTCCTTATACATGCAAACTGTTTGCCAGCATCAGGAACATCATAGGTGGAGAGTGAGCCTAGGGTGAACGCGCCTAGGGCCCAGGGTGGGGTCAGCATTGATGAGCAATGCGTATTTTTGATGATTTGCCGATTTGCGCTTATTTGTCGTATATATATATATATATATTTGCCTCTTAGATGTCCTTTATTTTACACCCGGCTCGTTTTGCATAGGCTCATGTTGCAGTTATGAGAACAAACCACAGCATGTGGATGAATTTGTGCAAGATTTGCTTTGAGAACGCCAGGTTCTCCATTCAATCGCCCCTACCTCTCCCGAAGACCGTCAATTTGCGCTGCAGGAGCCTAGGCTTCCATGGGGATGCAGCTTTGACCTACCAACTCCTCGAAGAGGAGAGATGGGACTGGACTGCTTTTTGCCTTCGACCCTCCGCAAAACCTACAAAGCCTTCAAGCTGCAACACCTCTCGGAGTAGCATGTAGCAGTTTGCTGTAGCAGCTGGTGTGATCAAATTTGTCAACTTGTTGGACTCCTAGACCAGTACTGTAGACGAAGGGTGGAGCTCCAGAAACACAGACTCATCAACGACATCAACCAACTCTGACGGGATTTCAATCTTGCGTGGGACGATATCTTGCTGCAGGGTTTGGTCAGGTCATAGGGTTCCAGACGAATAGACTAATTGCATTGATAAATGCTGATGAATGATGGAAGAGTCCTCCAGCAAGAATTTATGTCTTGATTGATTCATGTGAATTCAGACACCAAGATTCAGATGCCACACGCATTTCATGGATGCTACAATGAATGGTATTTTAGTTGACATGTAAATCTGTCATAATTTGCCCGCGTCAAGGAGGGAAAGACGATCAATTGGACTGATTTTCAGCGAATCAAGCAGTTCTGGTGCGAATGAACTTATTGCGAAAAAATCGATAGTATCTTCAAAGCATGGACATATAGACGACATATAAATATAAAATAATTAATGCATTCAAAAGTTGTATACTATATAGTGATCCCCTGACAACTCCTGTCAAACATCCAGACAAACAAAGGCCAAACCACACTGTCGAAAACACACAAGACGGACACATTCAAAATGTTGAACGTCAATGTTGCGCAAAATCGATTTTGGGATTGCCGAGTGTTGTTCGAACATTTTGGACATGTTGTATCTGAGGGTACTGTTATGTACCATTGGCAGATGATCCTTCAACTCCACCTTCGGTCATCAAAAGGAACTGGAGGCACCAATTAGAAAGGTGGAACTGGCAAGGAACAGGAAATTGGTGTCACGTTCTTATCACATTCGGTGAGAATTGATTTCCCTGCGCAATATTGATTGCGTGTGATCAGTGTGGTTGTATGATTGGATGAGTTTATATATCCACCTGTCAGGTGAGGGTTGTTAGATTTTATGTCAGCTGCCTGACGTGCAGCTGTGGAGGTGGCTGTAGAGGTCAAGACTTTTAGTACTAAACTTTTCCCAGGTCTCACAGAGTGGTTTTTTGGTGAGTATAACAGCCTGTTTGAGTGAGATTGTCAGTTACCGCAGAATTCAATCGGAGGCTTTGCCTTTCACAGCACATCGTCAAACAGATCTTCTTTCCCACAGAAGCTAAAAGGGGCGTCGCGAAAATTGCGATTTTTTTGAACAATCCAAGTACCTCTCCTGTATACAGGATCTTTGCAAACCCTTAATCAAATATTGTGCAAATACCAGCAGTGGTCATGATCTTCATGGTGATTGCTTTTTGTGTGTGTTTTTTTGATGTTTTTGGTGGTTCTGCTGATCCTGCTCTTCGATGATCATTGTCTTGAAGATCATGATCTTGATGATGGTGATTGTGGTGATCATGATCTTGATGGCCATGATCTTGGTGATCATGATCTTGATGATCATGATATTGATGATCATTGTGTGCAGGGCTTGGTTTGAAATCTGTGTCCAAAGCGCTTTGGTTCACCAAATCTGTGGGTTGGTTGACCTATTCACTCAATCTGTGTCCATGCCTTTGGCTCACAAAATCTGTGCACCAATTCACCCAAAATCTGTGTCCAAAGGGCGTTGGTGCACCAAACTGTGTCCAAAAGCGCTTTGGTTCACCAAATCTGTTGCCACTTGTTGCCCTAACTGCACCAACACTGGTCCAACTCCACTAGCTTTGTCTCACACCTGGGTCAAAGCCACATGTTGCTTTTTGTCACCACACCTCCATCAAACCTTTGTCACCACACACTTTGGCCCAAATCGGTGCAAAAGGCTTTGGTTGACCCATCGGTGTCCAATGGGTCCAAAGGCCACACCTGTCCAAGAGCCACACCTTACTCCTCACTCACTCACACACTCACTCACTCACTCACTCACCCACGCACTCACCCACTCACTTACTCACTCCCTCACCTCACCTCACCTCACCAGATCTGTGTTGAAAGGCCCATTGTTCAGGTTGTGTGTGCTGCTGCGTTGAAGTGGCTGCTGTGCATGTGTGTTTGGGATTGCTCAAGCTCAACTAACACCAACTCTTATGATCATCATCTCTAACTTTTCAACATCAACGCCCCCAGCTTCAACAACACCAACTTTTATCTACATGCACGAACATCAGTTTCAGCAGTATCAACATCAGCCTCAACATCACCAACTCTCAACCCACCAGTTTCCAAAGCACCAACTCTTGGTACCATCAATTTCACCAACATCAGTTCCTACCATCAACAACTCCAACACCACCACCTTCAAATAGAAAACAACATATTCCACTGTATTAACACGAACGCGGAGCTGAAACCTCCAGCCCTCCTCATGTAATGGCCTGTCATGGTCAACTCAGAGTGGTTTCTGGTTCAAATCAGTCTTCAAAGACTCATAGCGCACATATTGCGAAGGCAAAACGACAGTACTCTTCAGAATGCCAACAGTGGTCTCAAATATTAACTCTTACTGAATTTGGAGGATGACAACGAACCGGCTTTTGGGAATTGTCTACCGGACTTCTTCCAACCCACGGTCCCACTGCTGAGTTTGTGATGACGCCGGAACAGCCGGCGTACATTGCAGGCACATGAGTGGTTGCTTGCCACTTTCTGCAGTGGATCGGGCTGCTGTTTGCACCTAAGACATGCCCAGTTGGTCACAGTTGGCGCCCTCAGAAGCACAACCAAAAGGAAGTCGAAGAAGACGACCTTGAAGAGCCAACAATAATTCCAAGGGTGCAACTGGGTCTGCAATTTACGACCTGCCAGCCCCAATGAGGTTGGCAGGTTGGCAGGCCATGAGACCTCAAAAAACTGGCCGCGAAAGAGAAACAATGCCTGGAAAAGAAAACCTGGATGGCACTTTGTCCTATGGCACAGTTCTTTCCCCGATCGGTAATGTAGACCTGTGATTAA